GCCTGATGCGTCTGACGCGTCTGGCGTTTGTTTTTTTATCGGGCGAGTCCGGTTTCATTTCGTTTTTGCTTTGGGCCTCGCTGCACTACTCTCGAAATACGGACAGATACACGGTCATGAATTTTGTTTTTTGTGGATGTCGAGAGTAGTGAATCTTCCACTACAATACGGACAGTGTATCTGTCCGTATTTCAAGAGAAGTGCGGCGAGGCCCATAGCATAAAAAGAGAACGTAAAAACGAAACGAAACGAAACCGGACTCGCCCGAGAAAAAAACAAACGCCAAACGCGTCAGATGCGTCAGGCACGCCGCGTCAGGCGCATCAGAATTTTACATCGGACGTCTCACGATTCCCGATGAAAACAATCGCACGTCAGAATTTTACATCGGACGTCTCACGCTAAGCGATGCAAAAAATACTAACGTGGACCATCGCAGAAGCGAGAGTCGCAATAAACACTAACGTGGACCATCGCAGAAGCGAGAGTCGCAAAAAACACTAACGTGGACCATCGCAGAAGCGAGAGTCGCNAAACACTAACGTGGACCATCGCAGAAGCGAGAGTCGCAAAAAACACTAACGTGGACCATCGCAGAAGCGAGAGTCGCCCCGCGGCCTACTAAGTTTTATTAGGGTTATTAGATATCCTTTCCAAAACACCAAAGAAAGAGAAAAATAAATGTACCTCCAACTCTTGACAGAGAAGAGGTGTGTAAGGGGCACAGCCATGAACATGGTTTAATCATCACCGACGGACTAACACAAGTGGTTAGCGGGGACCCCTTCTTTTCAGCCCTCGGTTAGCACAGCCATGTGACATGGTGATGACTAGATGAATGTAGCCAACCTTACAGATAAGATGATGGAAAGTGAAAAAAAGAAAAAGAAAAAGAACAAAACAAACAAACAAACAAAAAAAAACAGAAGGAAAACGAAAAACTTGAAAAACGAACACAGCCAGCCAAGGATTGAAATTTGAAAGCTGCTCAGGAAGGAAGCACACACAGAACGATCACCAGAACTTTCAAAAGTGAAATGTGACAAGTTGACAGCGATTCAGCGAACAAACAAAAAAAGAAGATTAACAATTGCAGAAATGCTGGGAAAAAAAAGAAGACGACGGCCGGTCACCGAGGATGTTGTCGAGTAGGCGCATTAATCCAGACAGTGGGTGGAATAATATGCTGCAAATAAAGGCCCCTCACCTGCTCGTCACGCTCTCCCATGAGCTCCAACGCAGAGGCATGCCGTTTGCGGAGTGCCTCCAGCTCGGCCCGCAAGCCAGGTAGTGATGACGCTTCTGCCTTATAGCTTTCACACTGATGCACATCGACCATCCACAATCAAACAGCAACAGTAAATAGTCAATAGTCAATAGTAAATAGTAAATAGTAAAGAGTAAAGAGTAGATACTAAAGCGTAACCACTAAATAGTAAAGACTAAATAGTAAATAGTAAGTAGTAAAGAGTAAAGAGTAGATACTAAAGACTAAATAGTAAATAGTAATTAGTAAATAGTAAACGGTAAGTACACAAGCGTCTGAAGGGTTCTTCAGCCCATTCTTAGCCCCCTCCTAGCACAGTGACAGAGAACAGTACCGGCTTCCCCCCCCCAACACAACGTACCATTATCAGGCTGCACTGGGCTGGAAAAGTAGCTTGCATACATTCATAATGAGGGTACACTGTAGTCGGGTGATGGCGGTAGTAAATACGCAAGCTTCTTATGGGGTTTTTCAGTCCATTCCTTGAGAATGGGTTAGTGGGAAGGGGTTACTAGAGAAAGTTACTGGGAGAGGTTCTGTGAGATGGGTTGATGGGGATGGGTTAATGGGAATGGATTACCATGGAAAAAAAGGAAGAATTACTGGGGATAGATCGTTTGAGATGGGTTGCTGGGGGAGGGTTAGAGGGAATGGCTAACCATGGAAAGTTGCTAGAGAAAGTTACTGGGGATAGGTTACTGGAGACGGGTTGATGGGGATGGTGGGTTACTGGAATGGGTTCGTGGGCATGGGTTACCGTGCAAAGTTACTAGAGGAAGTTAATGGGAGAGAGAGGTTACTGGAGATGGGTTGATGGGGATGGGTTAGTAACTTAGTGGGAATAGGTTAATGATGGGAATGGGTTACCATGGAAAGTTAAAAGGGAAAGTTACTGGGGATAGGTCGTTTGAGATGGGCTGCTGGGGGAGGGTTAGAGGGAATGGCTAACCATGGAAAGTTACTAGAGAAAGTTACTGGGGATAGGTTACTGGAGATGGGTTGATGGGGATGGTGGGTTACTGGAATGGGTTCGTGGGCATGGGTTACCGTGCAAAGTTACTAGAGGAAGTTACTGGGAGAGAGAGGTTACTGGAGATTGGTTGATGGGGATGGGTTAGTAACTTAGTGGGAATAGGTTAATGATGGGAATGGGTTACCATGGAAAGTTAAAAGGGAAAGTTACTGGGTATGGATTACGACTGGGAATGGTTTGCTGTGAAAAGTTACTGGGGACGGTTACCAGACGAGAGAAATAACCCTGAGAGTGATTGGTGGACATAACAACAGGGATGAACGGTCTCCTTGACAACCCCGTACAATGAGAATGGAAACTTGTCGGACCATGTGGTCCCCACAGGGGTCCCAACAGAGGTCCCACATGGTCCCACATCCTGGATAACAGTGTGACCCTTGAGAACCCCATTATAAATAATAACCCCCTCGAAGGGCCTCGATAAGCGGGAAGAACAATACTCTGTACGTGGTCACTTGAATGATGGTTTACAGGGCTTAGACTGCAGACCAAGTGCCTGCAGGTTCCTATGAGAGGAAGTGAGCCGGCAGTTTTTTGGTACCCATTAAGGGTGGGAGGCATGTTTGGTTGTGGGGTGGGGCGGATGGTTAGCTCTGTGAAGAATTACTGCAGAGTGAGTGCCGCCGAAATTGCACAACTTCATATCTGTTTCTGGGCATGCAAAGCACAACCCACCCCACACTATCCCATCCCTCTATCATCACATCCCATCACAGCGCATTCCATTCCACCCAATCCCTTCCCTTTGTTCCCTGCCAATACCATGTGAGACCCCTGTTGGGGCCACATGTGCTGACCGTGTGGCATGTGGGCCCACTGCTGGGCCCACATGTGGGACCCTGTAAGACCCCTGTTCGGTCCACATAGGACCATGTGAGACCGCTATTGGACCTCCATGTGGGACTATGAGGAGACCCTCGTTGGGCCCACGTGTGGGACCATGTGGGACCCCTGTTGGGAAGACGTGCGACCATGTGGGACCCCTGTTCAAGCCTGCATGTGGGACCATCCGAGACCCCTCTTGGGCTCGACACACGGGACCATATGAGACCCCTGTTGGGCCCACATGTGCAACCATGTGAGGGCCCTGTTGGGCCCACAAGTGGTACCATGTGAGACCTGTGTTCGACCCCCTTGGTACCATGTGCCACCCCTGTCTGGCCCACATGTGGGGCCATGTGAGACCCCCCCTGCTCGGCCCCCCATCTAGCTCCTCTTCACACTTACAGTTGAATTTGTTGCTTACCTGATTCATGTGATGGATTGACCACAGATTTCAGAAGAAAAGCTTTACTTCTTTGAAGTTCTTTCCCATGAATCCCATGCCATTTTCAATCCTCCATCTCACCCTCCTCACCTGCGTTGTGGATTTGACAAGCTCTTCCGCTAACGAGTCCCGAGTTGACTCGAGCGCCGCCTGCAATTTCAAGCAACACCCGTTTCATCCAAAGTTGCAAAGCAATAAGAAGTCAGACATTGAATTTGGTCAAATTGGATCACTTGCTTGCAATTTGCAAGCGATCAAAAATTCAAAATGATCAAAAAATGAAAATGAAGAACCATGGCAACCTTAGTCGGCAAAGCGGAGCTAACTGTTGGGCACTGGAAATGCAGACATACTGTGTGAGCTGTGTGCGACAGAGCACCAGTGAAAGGACCTTTGGGCGGACTTTGAGCTGTGGAGAGGCCCAACAACACAACAACAGGTAGAGTACACACGGTGCATGCATGGAATTAGCGCATATGTCATGTCATCATGTACTACCGTCTTCACCTGAATAGAACGCCCGGTCATTATGGCTGCATCTAGACTGAAAATTGCCCCAAATACGGCGATAATGACCGGGCGTTCTATTCGGGTGAAGATGGCAGTAGTTATCACTGACTTATTACTAACTCATTATTACTAACACTTTGACAGTGGTTGCAATTCCAACAAGGAACTCGGTCAGACTGAGCTCATTGATTTCAATCAAGCATTCTTCTTGGCAAGCATCACACAAGATTGACAGGGCTGTTGCGCCCTTTGGATCTCAATAAATCATTCTCTTCTAAGCAAGCATTGCTGGAGACCGAGAAGACGTTCTAACAGTGTGTGAGCCGCACCGCTCTTCTCGGTAGAGTCACTACACACTGCACAGGAGATAACAATGACACTTCAACGATCGCCTTTCTAATGTACATTTGTACCGATGAGCCCGACGATTTCTCCTTAATTTTTTAGGCTTAAAACGTAAAAGTTAATAGTAAATAGTACTAAGTTAATAGTTTCTTCAACTTTTTTGATACAACTTTTTTTTCAGTAAACAGCAGCCGGTGGAATAGAGCTGAGCTTCAAGCCCTGGTGGAGGTTGGCTGAACGGTACCAACAATGGACAAACTGACAATTAATTTCGACTTTTTTTTTCCCCCTTCTTTCTAGAGCGTCAACAACATGCCTCTGATCAACAAAATCATAACTGAAGAAGAACCACTCTCTCGCGTAAGAGAACCTCCACCGTAGTACCATACAGCGCAAGTGAAGTACCCATACGCTTTACGTTATCCGAATCAATTTCACCCACTAGAGTAAAAGACAAGAATGCGCAACCCTTTTTACCAGAATGTGAGGTAGGTACAGGGCCTAAGACCCTTCTTTTTATGTGAATGGGGAGAGGGCCCTGGGCGTGAAGGATGGAGAGGAGGATGAGCTGTAACTTCGGTTCATAAGGATCAATTTCTAATCTCATAGCCTCATAATAATTCTGTAGCGTTTGTGCATATTCACCTGCGGCTTGAGCAGACATTCGTCACGATCGATTTTTTTCCAAATAAAAAAAATGCAATCTTTTTTTTTTTTTTTTTTTTTTTTTTAATTTGGACCATTTCTCGATTTACGCGTGTCATCCTTGCGCGGGGGCCATGCTAATCTTCTCTGTATCGTTCCAATTTTAACGGATGTCCCGAAGGACAATGCATTGAATGCAATCTATTTTTTAGTTGATAGAATTAGCCCTTTTGACTCAGTGGTAGAGTAACGCCACGGTAAGGCGTAAGTTGACAGTTCACATCTGACAAGGGGCTTGATTTTGGAGACTACAAGACTATAAGGTAGGTAGGTACAAGGCCTCTCAGACCCTTCTTTTTACGAGAATGGGGAGAGGGCACTGGGTGTGAAGGAGACGTGACTGTCTTGATGTGGAGGCAATTTTTATTTCCTTCTCTCGGATATCTCCCCTTCAAACGGAGACGGATCTTACCAATCGTGAAGCATAAGATGCAAGTTCTCCTTCTTTCTGTCGAAGCAGCAAGTCCATCTGCTCCAGAGTGCTAGGCCCCTTGACCAATCGCCCCCCAAGAACCGGCGCGACGGGACCATTGCTTGTCGATGAGGAGGAAATATGGACAGGGCTCCCTTGAAGCGAAGCCTGCAGGAGGAAGCTCTCCTCGATACTACCTGCACTGCTGGAGCTCGACATCCGCCGCAGACGGTTTTGACCTGCCGCAAAACGTGGAGCACAGCAGACCAGCACGGCACCACGACACGGACCATAAGCATCTAAAGATGGAAAATAGAAAATACATCAAAACATGCACACACAGTTCCTGTCCATTTTGCCTACCATCTTCACCCGAATAGAACGGCCGGTCATTACATCTATATATTTGGAGCAACACTTTCCGTCTAGACTATAGATAAAATAATAATGACGAGCCATTCTGTTCCGGTGAGGACCATAGCACCCCCCTGCAGGCTTGCCAGAAGTCAATCAATACAGCTGCAAAAGAAAAAAAAAGCACAGACCTGTATGCTCACCGTTTCTGAAGCCCAAGATGGGCGCGTGCAAAAATCAGAGATGAACCAATGAGCCTGGCTCAGTCACAGTGTGGGTACACCAATGAACCATAGATGCGGCACATCGACATGCGCCGCATCGCGCAGCGTGCACGATGCGCGCGCCAAAACTACAGAGTCACTACTCGGACCTGCCTCACGCCGGCGGGAAGGAGCCGGAGGACGCAGCAGCGGGAGGGGGCGAAGGAAGCAGCCATATCCAGGTGGGTTACAACCAGCCTCTCTCTCTCTCTCTCTCTCTCTCTCTCTCTCTCTCTCTCTCTCTCTCTCTCTCTCTCTCTCTGTGTGTGTGGAAACTGTGCATCTCCTCCTCCTCCCCATTTCTCCAATGTTATCGTTATTCTCCTCCTTCCCCTTCCTCCCTCCTCCGTCACCGTTCTCCTCCTCCCCCACTTATCATAGCGCTCTCTTCGTCGTCATTCGCCTCCTCCGCCCTTCTACCTTGCCCCTCCTCCCTCTTCATCGGTGTGCTCCTCCCTCCTCCATTCCCTCCGTTCTTCCTCGTCATCGTTCTCCTCGTCCTCAATCCTACCCATCGTTCTCCTCCTCGTCAATCCTTCCCATCGTTCCCCTCCTCCTCAATCCTCCCTTGCCGATCTCCTCCTCCCTCCGCTGTTCTCCTCCCCCTCCCTCCTTTGTCATCGGCGTACTCCTCCCTCCTCCCTCCGCCCTTCTACCTTCCCCCTACTCCCTTGTCATCGGTGTGCTCCTCCCTCCTCCATTCCCTCCATTCACCCTCGGCATCATTCTCCTCCTCCTCAATCCTCCCTCGTCATCGATCTCCTCCTCCCTTCTGTTGTTCTCCTGCCCCTCCCTCCTTCGTCATCGGTGTGCTCCTCCCTCCTCCCTCCACCCTTCTACCTTCCCCCTACTCCCTCATCATCGATGTGCTCCTCCCTCCATTCCCTCCGTCCTCCCTCGTCATCGTTCTCCTCCTCCTCAATTGTCCACATCGTTCTCCTCCCCCTCCTGAATCCTCCCCATCTTTGAAAAGACGCTGCGTGCACCACGCACGCCGATGCGCTAGCCTTGCGCACCCCCCGGCGCACTGGCGCGCTGCGCAGCGAAGTGTCACGCAGTGCATCGCGCATAGCGCATCGATGCACGATGCACACACATCAGTGCATGTGCCGCCCGAGGGCGCGGGGCGCATCGCGCACCACAGTGCATAGATGCGCCACAACTATTGAATGAACTGTTGAAATAGTAGAAATACAGACCCAAGTTCTATTCGTGATGGACGTAGATGTATGCAATGACATAACTCTGAATTTAAGGGAAGAAAGCTAGGCTACCAGAGTGGCCCGGGTCCACTTGCCCAGCCGGGCCAAAAAGAAATAAAAAACTAGGCTGTTTTTCCGGGCGCCCAGGCACCCAACTTGTGCCCAGATACGCGCCTGGGTGCCCAGCCGGGTATGCCCCCTGGGCAGGGTTCCGGGCAGACCCAGCGTGCAAAAAAAAAAAAAAAAAAAAAAAACGAAAGTAAAAGATTCCAGAAAAAATATATGTTGTGTAGAATAATACTAGAATTCCAATACAAACAACTTTTGGCTGGAGGTCACATCAGAATTCCTCACCGAATCGGAGATAATAAAGAAAATAACAAAATCACACTAAGGCACCCCCCTTTAACCCATTTAAATCAAATTTATACCCCCCTTCCCCACCCTTGACAGCCAACTCACAAAAAATGAAAACAGCCCGGATTCGGGGTCCTCAGGGAGAGTGCAGAAAGGCAAAAAAAAAAAAATTCTTTTTGGCACGCTTGGGTACCCCGGGCGTCAGCCCCCCTGGTGTCACACCCGGGTGCCCGGCCGGGCATCAAAACCTTCCTATATAAAAAACTAAAAAACTAAAAAAAAAAATAATTAAAATTTTTATTTTACATTTGGTAAAGAATTTCGATGTAATCCTGAGGCAAAAGTTGTTCAGTTTATTTTTCTGCATAACATAGTTTTCTTTCGGATTTTTTTTTTGGCTGGGACCTTCCCTGGTCCTTGCACGGCCAGGCCGCCCAGGAAAATAGGGTGACCCGGGCGGCCCAGCTGGTAACCTGGGAAGAAAGGGAGAAAGGGAGAAAGAAAGGAGGAGGAAAATAGGAGGGGGAAAAAACAAAAAATCAGAGATGAATCAGATGATACTTACTGGGTATCAAGAGGGAAATGCAAAGTGCAAAAGGTGCAGACGAGTCGTTCACAAGTTTCATCCACGATGATGAGCCTACTACTTACCGTCTTCTCCCGAACACCACGCACCCGATCATTAATGTACATAGGCTATCTTCCCGGTCAGATGCAGTCATAATGAGGGTGTGTTGTGTTCAGGAGAAGACAAGAAAAAATACCTAGGCATAGCGTTCACGCACAGTTTTGAATACCTGGGCACAGACAGAGATGCCCATCTACTCACCAACTACCAACCTGAGTTACAAAGCAGTGAATGCACTGAGGGGCCCATCTACTCACCAACTACCAACCTGAGTTACAAAGCAGTGAATGCACTGAGGGGCTGGCAAACTAGACCTCACCCGGGAGGGCCTCCCTGGGCCAGGCATGCCAGACCCTACCTGCGCCGTGCGCAGTTACCATGCTTTACCATGGTACCTTGCCTCGGCCAGGCAGGCCCAGGTGTCAAGCATGGTAACTCTGGTCTGAAGCATGGTAACTGCGCCCTCCTGGTGGTTCAAAACATGGTAACCGGCCTCGGCTCCGACTACCATGTTTTGAACCACCAGCTTGGTGATCCGGACGTACGGCCGGTTACCATGTTTCACACCTGCGCGGTTCCTTACCCCCATGGTACTCACGTGTAAAGCACGGTAACTGCGCCCTCCTGGTGGTTCAAAACATGGTAACCGGCCTCGGCTCCGACTACCATGTTTTGAACCACCAGCTTGGTGATCCGGACGTACGGCCGGTTACCATGTTTCACACCTGCGCGGTTCCTTACCCCCATGGTACTCACGTGTAAAGCACGGTAACTGCGCCCTCCTGGTGGTTCAAAACATGGTAACCGGCCTSGGCTCYGATTACCATGTTTTGAACCACCAGCATGGTGATCCGGACGTACGGCCGGTTACCATGTTTCACACCTGCGCGGTTCCTTACCCCCACCTGTGCCGGGGAGCTGCACGGGTGTAAAACACGGTGACCGGACATATGTTACCATGGTTTTACCGGGCGGTAGAATGGTTTTACCTTCGCTGCGCGAACGTCCGGCCGGCTATTATGCCCTAGAAGGTGTAAAACATGGTAACCAGCCGGACGTTCCACCATGCTGGTGGTTTGAATCGGATCCCCAAGTTGGGTAGAGCTGGTTCGGTATGTTTTGATTGGCCCCCCAGACAAGGATTTTTGCAAAGGCAAAAAAAAAGGTGGTGCGCTTAACGTGATGTTTTGGGCCCCAGCCATAACCCCAAACATATTAGTGTGATTTTTGGGCCTTGTACGCCGTTCTGGTCGTGACCTTTCGAAGTAAAACGAGTAATCCCGCACAGTTTCTCAGACATTCGTCATTAAAAAAAAAGTCGTTAAAATTGGAATGACATTATGACACAGAGAAGATTCGCATGGCCCCTGCACAAGGATGACACACATAAATCGAGAAATGGTATAAAGAACGAAAAAAAAACACAGTTTCTTCAACTTTTTTTTTGTTTTTGTTTTTCCCCCCTCACCAACTCGCCTAGCTCAGTCGGTACACCCATGAACTGTTGAAGCACAGACCACAGTGTGAATTCCAATGGAATCAGATGAGTGAAAATACCTCTGAATTTTCAATTTTGTAAGTTTTTTTTCATGAACGAACAGCTGTTTTTGGACCATCTTTCAGTCTTGATGCAGTGACAAGAACCATACGTTGAATTCGTCTGAAGTCGGTAATTACTAATTATCCAGACAAGGTTCAGAAAGTGGACATCACTCGTCAATCGGGCTGCACGAGGTGGCGACCCTATTAACTATTCAGATCTTGATAAAAAAAAGACGATAAGTTACCAATAAAAGAGTAAGTTGTGAGGTATCCTGTATGTTCTTGGACAAAGAAGGCACACAAGGCTGGAATCTGAAGACTGTGAAACGATTGTGAAAGAGCTTCATAAACCAAAAGCTTATCTTTGACAAACTGTTTTTCACTTCAGTGACGACGAGGTGAACAACCTTTTCAAGACGCTATAGCAGATTTCTCTCTCTCTCTCTCTCTCTCTCTCTCTCTCTCTCTCTCTCTCTCTCTCTCTCTCTCTCTCTCTCTCTCTC